AGTTGCACACATTTAGAAACAAGTTGGTGTGATGCTTCTATAAATAGTGGTTTTAGGTGATAAAGGTAGAAAAAATCATGGAACAAAATAAGTAAGGTTTTTCAACACAATCCAAAAGACCAATGAGAGGAAGAAATCCATCTTTATTCACTTATTTATTTTTGAATAGACAAGCTAAGGACTAAATGAAAAGTTAGGGGATAATAATAATAATAATAATAATAATAATAATGTCTTTATTAAATAAATTATTACATTACATTTGCACCAAGAAAGTGAAGATTACCTGAAGCTACTCTTTAACTCTTAACCTTCTTGGTCTACAAAAGAGAAGAAAATTAAAAAAAAAAAATAAATTTAATAAATGGAAAAAGTAATAAGAAATGGACAAAAGCGTTAAAAAAATTGTCAGGCAATAGTAATTAAGCGAAAAATTTAAATGTTCAAAAAACAAGTATTTATTGCCCTTTAAGAAGAATATCTTTAATAGTATAACGAAAATTGTTAATTGAAGGAAGATACATAAGATGTTGAAACAAATTATAGGTAAAAGAACGCTCAAACAGTGGCATGGTAAGAGTATTAAATCGGATATTACAACTGTGAATGGCGTTTCTAAAAATTAACTTTTCAAACAAATATAAAGGAATCCTATTTTTAAATAAACGGTACAAGAAAGTTAGAAAATGTAACTGAAATAAATTGTTAACTTTTAACCACTTAAGTTCATTAATGTGATCATATTTCCTCAGATTAAAAATATACCTACAAGTGTTTTGTACATGTTGTACCTGGTTTCATGAGGTTTTATCAATGCAAGGGTAATAAACTGTAATGCAGTAGTTTAAAACTGAGAGAACCAAAGACTCAAAGCTTTTTACGCATTTTGAAGTTTAAGATATGCTTGTTGGCATATAACATATGTATTCTTACATAACATCTTTGAAGTAACATTTTAATATAGTCTTTGAATCTAAGTGATTGGTCTATGATTAATCCTAGATTTTTGGCTTTCTCAGAAAAATTTATTTTAACTCCACCCAACTCGAGCCTTAATGAACCTTCACATATTTCTTTTAGGTTTACTACCAAATAAGACTGCTGTGGTTTTAGATGGATTGACTGTCGAGTTATGTTCTCTGGAAAATTTAAAAATAGCATCTAAATCCATATTTATATTGTTATTGGTATATCTGTACGTTTAAAACAATGAACAATCTGTGTGTCGTCAGCATACAATTGTATTTCACTATTTCTAACAACTCTTGGCAACTCTGAAGTATATATAAGGAATAGCAGGGGCCTCAAAATGGATCCTTGAGGCACCCCCGAGACAATAAATTTGAAATTTGAAAAGCTACCATCAACGCATAAACGTTGACTACGTTTCCATAGATAGGACTTATGTTTATTAAAGTTTACTATTTTTTATAAAACAAGAATTATATTCTTCAAAATCTTTCATAATTTTTTAACATGGTACAAAATACCTTAATCCGTGTATAGTTATCGATTTTAAACAAGAGGGAGACCGGATATCGTCGAAGAGAAACAGCGAAATTAGTAAAGAATTGTAACTCGATTAAAAAACGTTTTTCCTCTTTCCATTTCCTAAAAAAAATTAATAGACCTTTTTGAAATCGGTTTTCGGTGACTTTCCTTCTGATTTATTGCCTTGAAAATGATATGATTTACATAAAAAACAAAAACTGACCTTTCTTTTTTAATAAAAATACGTTGTTATTTTCACAATTTTCGACTGTTCTGTTTCCAAAAAAAGAAACACGATGTTGTCAAGCAAGTTCTTCTGTAGATATTATCACATTCTTTAATTGGCTTTTTAAATTTTTTAGTATTTTCATAATAATTTGGGAAACAGTATAACATTGAAACTCCTATACCCGAAAAATTGTAAGTACGCTCTTAATTAATTGTCTGTTTTTTATCACACAATGTCGGGTATAAGAAGTTATATAGAAAAGTTAGTATTCTTTTGCTGCGTTTGAGAATCCACATCGGATGCATCTGAGATGTAAAAAATCTTTGATCACGTGATTCAGTATACGTAAATGTAATGGGACAGATGTGTCCGATGTGGATAAAAAAACGCTCGAGATGTAAAAAATGCATCCGATGTGGATTCTCAAACGCGGCAAATATCATCCAAACAAAAAACAGAAACATGTTTAAATGAATATATTAAATAAATTATGACCATTTTTTAACAGACATATTTATTTGTATTATGAAAATAATGTTTATGTCAACAAACTTTCGATATTTGTATCAATTTGTAACGATAATTCTTTTTTAATGATATTATTAATATTTAAAGGTTTTAAATAAGGACTTGAAGATATCACAGTTCGAAATTCCTTTTATTGACCATAATAATTTTTTTGAAATGAAAGCATTAGTTCCCATTTCTCAGTTAAGCTCCTTAAATCAATTCATATTTTAATCTGAACGCTACTTAAGCGCAATAAAGTTGCAACGATTAAAAAATATAGTGAACTTTTCGAAAATTTCTAAGACAAAATGAAAATCAATTTATATTTAAAATTAAATAAAATTGCTAAAATTTTTAACCATATAAAGTTATTAAAGTTATAAATAATTACGTTTTAAAGATTTATATGTGAATTTTCAATTTCTATTGATGTTATAGTTACTCATCTGCATTTTACAATATCAATACATGATTTGGTTTTGGCACAAAACCCTGTATAGTAAAACTTATTAATAATCCTTGAAATTATTATTTGGGGACTTAAAAACGTGGTCCACTAGTTGGTGTAGCCTTTTAAAACATTGGGTTAATATTGATATATCATCAATTGCCACTGACACTTGTAAAATTCTAAATTTAAAAAAGCCTATTATAATAATATGACATTAATCATATCTTAAATGGATCGCATACTACGATTTTTAGAAATAAATAAAATGTTATTCTTAAATTAATAAACATATTAAAAATAATTTAAGATTCCTTGTTATGTTAATAAAAAGTAAACAAAATTTCTCATGAATTATTTAGTATTCTGTCTCGTACTTTTTTATGTCTCTATTAGCTCTGCTGTCAACAAGTTCCGACAAGGCATATTGCATATAAACATTTTGAATTTTACTTTGTCTTTTCTTCCCAAAAGATGTCATTATGAGGACTTTTCTCCACTTTTATTCCTGCAGAAGTCCAAAAGCACAAAATGCAAAAATCCATTTGTGTTACGTGCAGCTAGCCCTAAATTTGAAAATACCAATAGTGGTTCTCCTTAATGGTATCGTCCTTTTTCCAAAAAGTTATTTCTCTACTGCATATTTCTTCTACTACAGTCAGCACTCTAGTTCCATATGGACATTTCAACTCTATCATAGAATTTTTTTTTTAATTCCATCCAGATTTGCAGCAACATAATGAAATTCGGATTCAAAAAAAATGTCCACATTGAATAACTTTTTCTTGCAAATAAATTTCCAAATCTTATTTTGCTCTGAATTTATGGTCCATACCATATCAGGAGGCTTTAGCAAAAAATAAGTGATTTTAGATTTTTTACAAATTTCTCCAAATTTTAAAGCAGTGACTCGTTTTCGTCTTTTATTGTGCCACAATGCACAATCCGCTTGTCACAATCGTTTTTTCTCATCTATAGACATTGGCTTATATTTTAGAAAATCTTCTCTTGCAACCTGCCTCAAAGAGTGCGACAGATCAAAGCCATGTGCAAAGGCAAGAAAAATGATTTACATTACTTTAACCGATTGAAGAGTTGTTAAAATGCTGGAATTAATAATTATTGTTAACTCAAAGAGGTATTCATTAAAAAAAAAAAAAAAAAACGTGCGATATAAAAGTTAAACAAAAACATATTTTTATAATTCACATCTCAGTGTATACCTTTTAATTTCGGATAATTTTTTAAATAAATAAATGATAAAATTATTTTAACATAATTGAGCGAAATTACTGTATGTAAAAAATAACAAAATCAATTCAAATCACTAAATAGTAGAAAAAGCTATATATTTTGTTGGTGTCACCCTCTAGACGAAAAAGCTTTCAATGTATTTCTATTTTTATTGTAAGAAAAATAAATGCTCCTGTAGGCAAAAATTAAATATATTGTTCCCTTCTAGCATTTTTTAATATTTCTATTTCTTTTCTTTACTTTTGGTTAGGTGTACTAATAGGTAAAATTCATTTATCCCAGTAAAATATATTATAAATTGTTTTCATTCACAAATATTAATTTCTTAAAAATCTAACAGAGGCGCCACTTTCCAGACGAAAAATCTTGCAATGTAAGGGTTTCGTAGTACCCCACTTTTAAAGTTTATTTTTGACTATTTTTAAAAGAAAAAAATATGTACCTACGTGTAGGTAAAGGTTAAATCTATGCTCCTCTGAAACCACTTTTTCAAAATTCAATTTAGTTTTTTCTAAAAAAAAATTGAGAAAATGGGTAGTCATTTTGTATTTTTTTTTTTTTTTTTTTTTATAAAAAACTGAATCAAATTTAAAAAAAAAAAGTGTCTCCAGAGAAGCACAGATTTAACCTTTACCTATATGTACATATTTTTTTCTTTTAGAAAAAGTCAAAAATAGACTTTAAAAGTGGGGTACTACGAAACCCTTGCATGCTCCGCTCTACAGCCAAGTAAATACTCCTCTTAATGGCAAAACAAGTTGTTTAATTTAACTACATTGTAAGAACATATCTGGTAGGTATAGGTATGCAGTTATGTTGAATTGCAGCATTTTTTGAAGTAACTTGTCTCCATACCATACACTCACAATGGAAGATAGATGTTTTTAGAACTACAATACTATATTCAATGAATTTGTATATTTAGTCAGAAACAGGTATTCAGAATTACCTATTACATTATTAGTTTTTTTTTTTTTTTTAGTTTACAAAAATGTATTGTTTTGTATCAAAGTAATTCTCAACTCAATTGTAATATTGATAAAAAAAATGCAAATACTATAAACATACCTGTGTTAATGCTGGCATACCATGAGATGATTGTGTTGTCAACACATACTGTCCACCAACAACCTGAGCAACCCTTACAGTAGCACCACTAACAGCAGGGCGCTCTGCCATGGCTCGAAGGCATTGGCCCTCTCTCGGGGGCAGAGCACCCTGCCCCACCCCCGGAGTTTCGTCACTCATCTTTGAAAAGTCTAAAAAAAAAATATTTCACATAAACAGCATATCCTTGCTTTAGAGTTTCAGTATTAAATAAAAGCCTTTTAATTGTTAAAAACTTTTGACGAGAACAGAATCTTTTAACATTTAAAAAAAATATTGTGTATGCTTAACCATTGCACAACCAACAGCTTATATTGCAATACTTATTTTGTACACAAGTGTAGGACTTAAATTACTAATTAATTATTAAGAGTAAACAACAATAAAACCAAATTTGAAAGGTAATTTGTTGACGTAATAAAAAATGAAGTTCTAGGAAATTTGGCGGTAAAGTTAAAATCAAAATTTTGAAAATGAGTTTTCCTCAATTTAGCAGTCGAGATAATCTATATTTACATTTAATTAAAAAAAAAAGATTACAAAATATTTCATAATCGATTATATACAACCACAACGTTAAGTTTTAGGGTCCGTTTTTTTTTTTTTTTCAAAATTTTATTTCCACCCTAAACCCAGAACGGGACTAATTTTTATTTTTAAACCAAGGTAATAATTCACAAAAAAAAATATAAATCTTTATTCATTATACTTATAAACATATTTATTAAACTAAATGAATACAAACTGAATAAGTATTTTAAAAATAGATTCAAGTTTTAACAAAGAACTTTTACCGTGTCGCCATTTTGATTGTAGATAGACCGTCGATACTTACCATCATGTAATCACAAAATATTCACGTAAAAATTAGTCATCCGAAATTAAAAATATAACTATCGTCTTCGTTATACTTTAAAGTACAATTAGATACTTCACGTAACTTGAAAATTGCAAAATATACTCATTTTCTACATTTTACGCGTTAAACATCAATGACGCATTGCTTTTACATGACATGGCGACGCGATAGCCCATTCCTTGAAGAGATGTTTGCCAGTTCCACAGCTGCAACGCCTAGTAAAAATTGAAAACGCGCATGTGCACGCTAACAAATGCGCATGTGCAAATCAATCGAGAGCGGTCTGCCCAGGATCGAGCGTTGTTGCCACTGTTTTCTGTTTTATTAATTTAACTTTTTTTAATCTTTAGTTTTTATTTTTTAATGAATAGTATTTGGGAGGGTATTTTATATTTGGACAATTAGAATAACATATATGTTTAAGAAAACTGCAGACCTATGATAAGAAGTTTATAATCAGTCTGCATTCTAACACATCTAGAATTTAGAAAAGGTCCTATATCAAATAATTAGAATTTTTTAGGGTTGCACGTTAAACAAAAATTCTCAAAATTTCGTTTACATTTTTTAACAGAATTGTGATTCTATTTGGGTATATTTTTCCAAAATCATATCTCCAACTCAGCACCTACATATAAAAACGAAATATCAAAATTGGTATAATATTTATTATCGTCCCGATCTGATACCAGATAAGCTGGTCAAAAGTGGTCATTCATTTTTGTTTAAAAGACATATTTCAATCCCAGTGGGTTATCGTGTAGATAATCGTGGGTGGGGGTTTCTTCAATCATTTGTAAGTAGTTGGTACGTCGCACGAGAGCTACGACAGATTAATGGACTCTGTGACATAAAACAGCGCCGGACAAATTAGCGCAGAACAAACGAGCGTTGACAAAACAGCGATGCGACAAAATAGCGCCGTAATATATCAGCGTCGGGATAAATAGCCTCAGACACAAAATAGCGCCAGACAATATATAAATTTAAGCGCTGCACAATAAATACAATTTGAATACATAAACTGACACGGTAAAGTACCTGCTAGGTTGGATGGGTTGAAAATGAGTGGGATGATGGTCTCATCCAGACCGCACAGGGTGGGTACATTATTAGTAAAGTTCTTTATTAGAATTAGAATAGATACTAGGTTAAAATTAAAATAGAAATATTTTCCTTCCAATTAAAATTAAAAAAATACCTAAATTTCCTAACCTGTGCGGCGTGGAGCCACCGGCGCTGTTTTGTCCGGCTTTATTTTGCGCAGCTTCATTTTGTTGCGGCGCGACAGGATCAGTATAGTTTATGTGCTGCGCAGGTCCCTAAGTAAAGTTCGGTTGTGTTGTAGATTTTTAAATATGTATGAATTAAAACTCACACAGAAGGTGTTTGTTGGTGCTTGTGGGATCCACACAAGATAGGATTAGCCATGGAAGAAATCAAATTAAATTATTGGTAACGAGCAGACGGTCACTGAAAAAAATAAAACGAGAATCGAAACTGTCCAGCCAAAATCAACGTTGCCTTGTGTTTGTTACAAAATGTTTTAGCTCCAAATTTCAAAATAAAAAAAAGTAGCGTCTTGAAGTTGCAGCAATAAACCCCCTAGCTCGAAGCAGTTGCATTTAAAATTTTAAAATATAGTTTTCGGCTTATTTATACCCATACAGCACACCAAATCCTTTGGATATCTACTGGACATCCCATATATCCACTGAATGTCCAGTCCATGGTGGATATCTATTTTATATCCATGAGATGTAATTTATAGACATGCAAATGTCCACAAATAATAGTAATTATATAGCAAATTATTAAAAAGTTACCCCATATTGTGCTCGCCATTGTGGCTAATAGTACCGTTCAGATATTCAATATCCCATGGACATCCACTAAATATATCAAAATCTAGGCGCGAACGCAAACCATATCGTGGATATCCACTAGATGTAATTTTTAATTTTGCTTACTAAGTATAGATGGCGATACCACTTTCGCTCGTTGTCATGCTCAATTCGCCGTAATTGAGTTCGATCGAAATTTATATCGCAATCCATTAGAGACTGGAGTCGAGAATTTTCATTTATTGCTGAAGAGTCCCTAAGGATGACTTTCTCCTAAATGGGTAAAATTAAAGGCAGAGTGTTGAAAATATTTTTTATCTCAACTATTTTCTTTCGACGTTATAATTCAATAATCATTGGTTACTTATGAACCTCTACTAAAGATACCCATAAAATATTTTGCTGAATATCCGAATATCTTCTATATCCTGGGATATAGACGGACATTTGGTTGGATATCCATATTAGATATCCACAAAATATATTCTGTGGATATCTCTGGGATTTCTTGTATTGTCTGGAAGATACCCATTAGATATTTTGCTGGATATCCATAGGATATCTTCTATATTCTGGATATAGACGGACATTTGGATATCCATGTTAGATCCACGGGATATTTCTGATATCCTGTGGATATATTGGATATCCACAAAAGATATTCTGTGGATATTTCTGGGATTTGGTGTGTTGTCTGGGTATGTAATATCTGATGATGTGTTCCAAACACAAGACTTGATCCCGGTCAGAAAAAAAAATGAATGTTGTATCTTTCTTAAAATATCTCCAATACGGCCAATTTTAGGTACTTCATATAGCAAAAAATTGTAGATAATTACATCACGAAAAACTTTTATCCGAAGAAATTTAATCTTCAATCATAAAATAACAGAAATATACCAAAAAGTACAAAAGCTCCGAATATGCCCCAATTTTAATGATCGGGGCCCTTTGGAAACAATATATTCCAAATCTCCTCGAAATCGACCGGGTATAGTTTGTGGTGTATATCCTGGACATTTTTGTAGGATTTGGAGTGAGGGTAGCCATATGTGAGTAGTAGGGATTAAGTATAAGGGGTTAAGAAAAGGTCCTTTATTTCTCACTCGTGTGAGAAATAAAGGACCTTTTCTTAACCCCTTATACTTACTTTTTGTAGGACTCCAAACGTTTTCTCAAATTCGGATTTTGGAGTTATTGCAATAACATACCCATTTTATGAATTGATGGGGGAGGTTATATGTTGTCCGTTACCGTTTTAGTTTGTCGATATTGTGTGTTTTTGGTTTCTATTTTTACATAACAAAAATAAAACATTCCCGTAATGTGTTTTAAGTACACAATTGTCATATAATAGACATGTACAAAAAGTGAATGAAAAATCCAGACGCAGAAATTTTTATTTTTGGATTTTAAAAATGAAATTTAAACAAAAATGACATGTGTACGCTTATTACACAGACTGATAGTATCTTGATTATTTAAATCGACAAAGCAAGCAATATGTGTAAAATTCGCAATAATGATTAAAGCTACGAAATTGCTGAAATTTTGAAAAATGTTGAAAGTAATTCAGCAAAAAACTACTGACTCAAACTTTATTATTTCGACATTACAGGGTTACAATTAAACTTATAAGGCCATACATCTCATGAACTAGGATAGGAAGTGGGAACTTAAATAAGGGTCGATTTCACACTGTTGTGTTAAACGAATTTTAAATTACTAAGGACCGATTCCACCGTTGTGTTAAACGAAGTTTAAAATGACATTTTTACATTAACAATGTCATTTTAATCTCCGTTTAACACAACGTTGGAATCGACCCTAAACGAAGATTAAAATGACATTGATGTAAAAATGTCATTTTAATCTTCGTTCAGTAATTTAAACTTCGTTTAATAGAACGGTGGAATCGGCCCTAACAGAACAACAATGTAATAATCGCTATTCTTGCTAGTAAAAATATGGTATGATTGATGAACGGATACATTTGGCAGCGTTGTTCTTGGCTGGGCGGCCTACCTCGTAAAAGACGGACGTTGTCATTAGTTTGACAGCTATTTGAATTAAATATTTGAATAACCTCTTCATTTGTAAACATTGTAAACTAAAAACCTTCCTCCATGCTAAAAACTGTACATTTCTATAATTTTAAGATATTTAAAATAAAATGGAATATCTATCCAGTAGTGTACATCTCTGCTTAAACTCCAGTATTGTTGAACGTCTAAATGGGGCCCAAATCTTTACTGTTTCAGACTTTTTAAATTCCGAAAATAAACAGATTGAGAAAATAACGGCCTTAACAGCAAAAGTAAAGAATTTTTAAAATACTTAAACACTCACCTTTAGCTATTGTTTTTCAGGAAATTTTAGAACTGAGAAAAAATCTTTTAAAAAAATTTGTCAATGCAAGAAATGCTTATAATTATTATAAAAGTATTTCAAATGAGTTTGCAATTGTTCCTACTGGTATATCCAGGTAGTGTCTTTTCTAAAACAGTTTTTAAATAACATTTTTACCAACATTATTTTTTAGATTAGATAATTTGTTGGAAGGTGGTCTATTTACAGGAAATATATATGAAATATGTGGTTTACCAGCATCAGGCAAAACATATTTCTGTTTGACGCTACTAAATAATCTTGCTTTGAAACACATCACTGAAATTATGTACATAGACACCAAAAATGATTTTTCGGCATTAAAATTGAAACAAATGATGATGTATCATTTAGAAAAAGTATGATTATAAATTTGTATTTGGTTAAATAATTTTATCTTTCATTTTTAGGACGATATGATAGCTGCCATGAATAGAATTATAGTCAACAAAGTGAATTCAAAACAACATTTTCTGAGCGTATTGTTAGAGATAAAACATGCTTTACAAAATGGACAAATCATCAAATTTGTTATTATTGACTCGCTTCCACCTCTAATCTGGAATTCAGTAAATCATACTGAAAACAATTCTTTTTTGACTTATTCAGCTAATATCTTACATTATTTAGCAAAAGAATATAATGCCATTATTATTGTCACAAATTTAATAACATTGTGGAATGAAGGAGACTTCAAAAATAGAAACATTATGAAAGAAAAAATTTCTTGTGGTAGTTTTTGGTATACAGTGCCAAATGTTAGAATTGTATTAAAAAAAGATAAAAATTTGTGCAAAATGACACTTACTAAATCTATAAGATTTGTTCCACCGATTAACTCTTGTGATGTTACATTTAACAATAATGGTTTAATTTAAAACTATAGTTTTAGTGTAATCATTTATTAATATGAAGCCTATTTATTTTGTACACTAAGTGTTCAAATAATGATTAACTAGCTAGACTGCAAATGAACAGCAATCTCATTACCGAATTATCATAATTTATTAGTTCTTTTGGAACGAAAAGTGTATTACCAATATTTTAAAAGAAACTACACATTAAATGTTATTAATATGGCATATAAAATCAGATTTAAAGGTCTACAGATTTATTATGAGGAACATTTCATAATTGGTTAGCGAGAGATTAAAAATTGTAACTGATAATAAATGTGTATATATTATGTAGGCAGTCTCGCGCCTAGCATTTTTGGCGCCCTTGTGCAAATTTAAAATAACGCCCCTAATTTGTATTATGTTCATATGTGAGTACAGATACGGGTTAAATTAGGTATTATTATCCACTATTGAAAAATAATTTTAAAAAGTATTAATCAGTATTACAACTCAAAATTTTTGTATTTTAGTTTCAAATGTAATATATAAAGCACAAAAGATAAAAAAATATTTAAAACATTAAAAATACTCGTTTATATATCACAGAACGAAACTGATCGACAAATAAAAATAAAACAACATATTATTTTAATAATGCGACATGTCACCTTTTAAAGGTTAATATAATATCCAGGTATTAGGTATTGTTATTAATATTTTAGCTAAGTGAATTGAAGCTTTTCGTGCTTTAATTTTTGCAAATTGTTTAATTAAATCTTCGACCCAGATAGCACACGACGTCTGAAAGACGTCTTTTTTGTGTCTTGGTTTGGTCTCAATGTCCTAGGTCATTATTAAGACGTCTTATAAGACGTCTGTCAAAAGCCATAATTCAGACGTATTAATGTGAAAGCTCAAAGACGTCTTACAAACGTCTTTCAGTCGGACGGAAACTTGCACGGTTTACATAATTCAAATTTAAAAGAAGAATCAAATGAAGTGAAGTTTGTCGTTTGACTTAACACTACCACAGCTTATACAATATTGTATAAGCTGTGACACTACATTCAAGCCCAAGCTTATAGTGAATTATTGATTATTCTATTGAGTACGCGATTATAGCCGCCAAAAGTGTCTTTGGGCTACTTTGTGTATGGTCTCTTTTTACTTAAATAATATGTGACTAAAACCAGAGAAGGAAGAAAAGTGGAGTTTATGTTACCGATGTATCACGTTGATGGAATACTTTCTACAGGTAATAAATTAATATTTGTTTATATACATAGAACATTAATATCCTGTTTCTTCTAAATAAGAATAATTAAATGAATTAAAAAGTAAACATCTTGATATAAGATTTAATTCAGTTATTCGTCAATTTCCTTTTTTTAATTTTATGAAGATTTCGAGAACTATTGATATCAGAAGCCACATTTAGCCATTTTGAGTGAAGTTAAAGTAAAATTGTCAAAATAGGCGATTAAGTATAATAGCTCATCTTGTCTTAAATGATTTAGTTATAAAAATTGATTTGAAATTGTAAGAAATTAATTTTTTGTTTTGTTTCATAATTGTTCTTTCGGTTTTTACTAACTTTAACAAAGTATAACTTCCTGTGACTATAATGCTCTTACCTAAACTTCTTTTTAGGAGCGACTATACAAAGGCAACTTCAAATCAAAAAGAAAGAAAAAAATCAATCCAGTTATGGCTAAAGAGGGTGATCGAATGCGCCACAATAAAAATAACTCTTAGTGACCTGTGATTAATAGATATTTTATCAATAAATATTTTTAATTCTATTTTTTACATTCTTTATAACCTGCAAGGTTATTCTACTAATTTTCATAACCAAGATGCACGATGATACCCATTTTTAAATTATTTTATATTATTATAAACAGGTTATAGAATTAGCAGAATAAAAATAATGAACGTGTTATTTATGGCTTATTTAAGTTTAACCAGACCATTATAAGCCATTAATAAAACATCTTAAAGATGTATAATTTATGGCTTCTCAAGACCATTATAAGCTATATTAATAAGTCGTCTTAAAGACGACTTATTTATGGCTTATTTAAAGCTTCACAAGACCATTATAAGCCATTTATGAGACGTCTTAAAGACGGCTTATTTATTGCTTCACAAGACCATTATAAGCCATTAATAAGACGTCTTATTTATGGCTTATTTAAGGCTTCAAAAGACCATTATAAGCTATTAATGAGCCGTCATAAAGACGTCTTATTTAAGGCTTCACAAGACCATTACAAGCTATTAATAAGTCGTCTTAAAGACGTCTTATTTATGACTTATTTTAAACTCATTATAAATTTTGTTTTGACAATGTTGCTTTATCGTCATTTTACTTTTGAGGCTTTTCGGCGCCATAGGGCTCCACACGACTTTGCCCTTATGTACAGCGCGGGCCTGTATGTAGGTAACCCAAAATTGATCCATGGTAAACATTTTGTTAATATAATATATACAAAGTACAAAAAATCAGTAACAATATCGTATATTTTTCAAATCACATAAATATGATTTAGGACCGATTCCACCGTTGTGTTAAACGAAGTTTAAAATGTCATTTTTACATTAACAACGTCATTTTAATCTCCGTTTAACACAACGGTGGAATCGGTCCTTAGTCACATTTTATAAATTTTAGTTATCTACTATTTCTTTTTAATAATAACTTTCAATTCAATTTTTTTCTCCCTTCAGACTCCACTAGCAAACTTGGTTTGTCTCTATAACAACTATGTTTCAAGCATAGTGGCACTACTGCCCTAAGGCTTATTGTGCTACCATTTGGGATTACTAATACATACTCATTCTCTAACACCTAGTGCTGCCATTCGTCCGTATTTGTCCTAGTTTGGAGGGCGTCCAGGCGAGATTTGAAAACCTTATTGAATATAGGCACATAGGCAGAAACATTAATTGAATGATAAGAAACAAATTGGCGCGCACGACTAAACTACCTGACCACTAAATGCTCCTCGATATTTTTTATGTCGATTGTGCTAAACATTGCTAAATAAATCACAATATGTTTTAATTAATTAAGAAATGAAAATATAGTATAGTATGTCCGGGGTTTTTCAGTGTCTTGTACGACGTCCAGGGACGCTAAGAGCCAGGTCTTGCCCCGTGACAATTTTATAAAAAAATTAAGCCCTAAAAAAGTCTTTCAGCAAAAACTTCTCATCCTCTTCAGTGAATTCTAAAAAAAAAGGTCATCGAGCAAAAAAGGTCCTCCCTCTTGTGGCGAACTTCTAAAAATATAAAAAACGTCCTCACCTAAAGCTGCCGGGCCTCCACTTGAGCCCGGGCCCCGGGAATTAGTCCCGGCTACCCCCTCTCTCGTCGGCAATTTAGGTGATGGCAGCCCTACTCACACCTTATGTTAGATAAATATCTGACTTATGTGGCTGAACAGAACATTGCTTTTGACTGTGAGGTCATTGTCTAGTGTCAATATATTTGAATAATTATAAAATATTTTCAACTACAAGTAAAATAAAAAACATTTTAAAATATTTGTGTTTATTCTTAATAATTAAAAATTGAGTAAGCAAAATGGTTTTGTAAGTATGACATACAAAATTTTACAACAACAGTTTTTTTACATATTTTAACAATATTGTTTTAAAGTAAATGGAATTAAATGTCATTGCAAAATCTAGTTACCTAAAACAAATTACTTATTTCATCATAAAAGATAAAAATACTGAGTGACACTTCACACATCCAAATCATCAGTGATGAACTCTGAAGAGTGCTGCAGGTTCCCGAACACCGGACTGTGCAGACCATAGTTAATGGTTTCTACAGTCTCTAAGTCTGACTGCATGTACTTATTTGCAAATATTTTGTTACCTATAAAGACCTCAGGGTATGCCACATTTACAGGGCCTTTTGTTCATCTAATTACAATATGAGGGAATACAATAATTAGGTGAATTATTCATTATGATCGTTAAAATGTAAACTGCAATAAGATAATTGATTAATTTAAATTTTTAACCATTCACATTGATATTTGTCATTGTTACAATCACTCAAAATATAATTATATGGATTATTTACCACTGTGTTTAATAATCACCGACTATTTTTAATAGTGCATTCATCTTTGACAGCAACGTTAGGATAAGATTTATATTTCATTGATTCATTTTTAAAACTAAAATTCGACCTTAATAAATCAGTGTCTATTTTGATTGTTTCTTTGCTTTGCTTTACTCTACACCTGCGGCTGCGAGACTCCACAAGGCCCTGGCAAAAGGGAGAGTTATGGCGTTAAAGAAACCAAGTGGAAGCTTCACGGAGAGTGAGGAGGAAAGAGCTCGCCTCTTACTCGAAACTCACTTTCCTGGAAGCACACCTTTTCTAGTAAGGGACACAACTAAAGGTAAGCAGACCCCCAAGAGAGGCCGCTATAGTGGCCAAACACATATGCAGCAGCAATCGATTAAAGTGGGCTGTCTCCAGGTGTAGATGGAATATTTCCTGCCCTGCTTCAGTGGGAACAGGAAGAATTAATACCACACATAATCCAGATATCCCGGAGCAGTCTGGAACTGGGATATATACCAGAATCATAGAGAAGGGCCAGAGTCACCTTTATTCCAAAAGTAGAAAAAAAAAGGATACCACACATCCTAAATACTTTCGACCAATCAGCCTCACATCCTTTGTAATCTAAACAATGGAGAAGGCTTTTGATAATTTATATCAGAATAGTCACAGATAGGGCAGGACAACATCTTCATTTGCACAACCAGAGGATGTCCACAAGGAGGAGTTCTTTCCCCACTAATGTGGAGCCTAATCGTAGACGAACTTCTATGCAGATTGACTGACCTCGGCATACCCTGTCAAGGTTATGCAGACGACATAGTCATATTTGCTAGAGGCAAGTTTGTAGATATCCTGTGTGATATAGTCTCCAATGAGGACTAGAACATACCAAAAGATGGTGTCGTAAAGTGGGACTTGGTATAAACCCTACGAAAACAACACTAGTATCCTTTTCAAGGAAAAGAAAACTCAATCTCAAAACCGTTAAATTAGACGGGCTAGATATAGAAAGGAAAATGAAATCAAATATCTAGGCCTAACCCTGGGCAACAAACTTCTCTGGAATTTATATGAGAAGGAACAGAAACATTGCGGGTAAATGATGGGGATGTAACCCAAACACACTGCGATAGTGAGACCAATGATCACTTACGAGGCTATAGCTTGGAGTAACAGAACTAGTTTACCTACTACGAGAGCTAATATCTCAAAAGTACA